CACTTAACCGCTAAGCCACAGGGCAGGCCCCATGCAATTTTTTTTAATTGTCTGGTAGACTGAAATTTTCACCTCACTGATATCAGGAGAGACTTGCTGATTTGTTTCAACAAGATGGGAAGATGGGCGACTGTAGAAGGGCAAGAGAAGCGAGCTCAAATCACAGACCACCCCTCCCTGTGCGCTCAGCCTTCCCCCACGCGAGGCTGTGCCGGGAACACCCACACAGCAATTCCAGCCTCGCTCACGGAGGCATCACAAGAGAGGGCACAAAACACTCTCAGAAGACAGGTTGTTTTTACAGTGATAAAATTGCCTAATGAACAAGCCTTTTATGTCGTTAATTTTATTAATTATGAGTTTCTATTTCCTGGATAAAATGAAACATGTTAATTTCCGTAATGTCTATGACAGTGGGAAAAATATGGAGCAAAACTGTTTTCTCCTGCGTTTATTACTTCACCTTTGGGTGGCCTAAGAGAAAAATCCTTATATACCAGAGCAAGAACATTCCCCCAGACACAAGAAATCTCTGACAAGTGTCAGCAGCCTCTTACTGAATACACTTATGTGCTGAGAGATCATGGGCGGGAGCACCTCATTCAATACATATTTGTAATATATTTATAGCCCTTCCACGGTACTGTTAGCTATTAGGAGAAAAAAGAGAAAAACAGTGCATATCTAGTCCTCAAATCCTTTAAAGCCTGGAAAGGAAGATGAAACATATATTTCTAAAAATACACAAAGAGGTCAAATTACAAAAGTTTAATGGAGATGTCTAGTCTATAGACAGCTAAAAAACATGACTAACTCCCTGAGGAAAGCTCACCTTGAGATGGAATCTCTGACAATGTTTTGTGAATGACGCCCCTCAGCGGGTTTTCTTCCACAACAGAAAACCACCAGGCGCGGGCCCAGGAAGGTCTGCGGAGGGTGAAGCAGCTGCACGTCCGCGGAGCGTCCCGGCCTGCGCGGGCCTCGGGCTCAGAGCTGCATCGGTGCTCAGCGCGCAGGACCCGGGCGGCCGCCTGTGCGTAAACTGGGGTCGGCCTGAAGAACACTGCGGATAAAATGCTACTGGGAGTCAGGCATGAGCGATTACCTGCAGCTGAAAAGGTCTGAGAATCAGTCAGAGGGACATATGAATGGAGTCTTGGGCATATTTTCTTGTCTTTTTTGTCTATTTTTCTTTTCTCTTCGTTTTGCGTGGAGCAGCGGTTCTCCGCCCTCAACACGCACGAGAATCCCTGGCAGGCGTGTTACAGCCAGCTTGCTGGACCCACCCGGAGATTCTGATCAGCAGGTCTCGGCCGGTGCAGGAGAGTCCAGGTGATGCTGACGCTGCTGCCCCGGAACCACGCTTTGAGAAGCACTGGCTTAGAGCCCGGAAATCTCCAGTTAAATGAGCAAGAAGGTTACATGGCTAGTGAGTGTCTGGGGTCATCCAAGTGCTTAGGATGTGTGGGATCCCTTCTCACCCCTAAAGTTTCAGGACTACCTGGCCCAGTCAGCCTTTGATGGACTTTGGGAACTAAATTAACAGTCTTCATTGTTGGCCCTTTATTAACTTGGCTGGGTAGTATATAATTAAAATCCACAGATAACCCAGAAACTTCCCTGGAATCAGCAGCTACAGTCTTCTGTCCAGATACCCTGGGAATGTAAGGGAAAAAAATGGAAAAAATGGGACTTTTTTCAGAATTTTTCCCTGTCCTAACTTGTTCCTGAGTATATTGAACTAAGAAGTAGGAAGTCGTCAAATATTTGCAACTGAGAGAAAAACAAAAGGTGAGACTGGCAGGAGTTGGGGCAGGTCTACCTACTGAAAAGCCGTGCGACTCATCCCCACCCACCGCTTAAATGCAGCTCCTCCTCCTTGTCCCTCCTCGCAGCAGGGCACCCCCACCTGCATATGTGGAGTCTTGGTGCCCCTCCAGATGGAAAGGTCACAATAAGGGCCCCTCACTGAGCTGATGCAGCCCACAGCAAGGCAAGCAGGGCCAGGCTGTGTCCGGTGCCCCTGAACCAGCGCCCTGGGCTAGCCCACGACCTCACACTGGATGCGGAGCCGCAGGAACCATTTGTCCATCGGGTGCCCCCACCTGCCGATCCACAGTCCACGGCACCAGCACGATCCTCCTCAACTCCTCCCTGATTGCACCCTGGCGCCAGAGTCCCCAGCACGTGTCCGGGTTTTGCCGAGTTCTGCCCTCAGCCCCCGTTATGATGTGAAACCTCCCTCTCTTTTCAGCTCCTTTTCCCACCAGCTTTCTCATACCTCCCGCGCTTCTGTCAATGGAGCCACTAACTAAGCCTGGACAGACCACTCTCCTTTATTCCTGTGTGGCTTTGCACATACTGTTCCTTCAGACTGGAGAACTTTTCCTTCATGCCTTTTCCCCTTGTTTTCTCGGACATTTCTATTCCTTCTTTTAAAAAATAATTTCATGTAAAAGAAACATGGACTTATTATTTTTAAATTTGGAAAACACAAAGGATTATGGGGGAAAAAGTCCATATAAAAAAGTAACTGTGGTTCACACTTTGATTCATTTTTTCAGGGTATTTTCTATGCCTATATATTTATGGATCATATCTTAAAATAGCTTGTATCCTGCTTTTTTTCACTTAGTATTACATTGTAAGCTTTCTCCTCAACTGTTATAAATTACTTGAAAACATCTTTTTATGATGGCGGCATGATTTTCATACGTGTGTGTGTACATTATATCTGAAGAGTTTGTTTAATCCTTGTTTTGGTCATTTAGATGGTTTCCTTTTCATTTTCTTTTCTATTACAAATAATATTACAAGGAAGAGTTTTGCACGTGACTATGACAGCCCTTTGATGATTTTCTGGGTGGGAATTCTAGAAGGAATTACTGGAACGGTAGAAAAGGACAGTTTTAAGCTCTTGACATGCACTGTTAGGCTGCTTTCAAGAAAAGTTGGACAAATTTACAAACTCGCCAGGGGAGCACGCATGTTCCTCTTAAAAACAGCCACTTCTTATTGAGAGTCATAGCTTTTTGTGTGTGGTCCTTGATAATTTGATTTTAATTTGCACTTCTTTGATTAGGCTGGAAATTTTTCTACATTATTAACCATACGTATTTCCTCTTATGTAAAGTATCTCTGTGTATCCTTCACCCAGTTTTCAGCTGCAGTCACACTTTCTACTCATTTCCCACACTTGATCCCTGTGAAGTTCTCACAACCCTACAGGTCACCCCCCGGTGAGGCCTCCCCCTCTAACAGGACCGCGTGCCTGTCCACTCCTGGGATGTACGCTCGACTGTAACCTGACATGCCCATCCCCCCAGAGCACGAGACACAGCTCCTGGGCCAGGACTCAGCACCTAACCAGCTGCCTGGCACAAAGTCTGTGTCAATTAAGACTCAGTTAGTGAACTCATGAGTAGATCAAGGAGATCAACGAAGAGCTGACTTTTAACTTAACATGGATTTCATCAGGATGGTGTATCTATATTTCGTATAAAGCAGAAAGGATCACTCAGTCCTTGGATAAACTTTGCAAACTTGTTTCATATAATTGCTAATAGAACAGCATAGAAAAATCCACATTATTAAACTGCTAGAGAATGAAAGGCTGCTGGCAACTGTTTACTCAAAGGAGAAAACTAAACCTTTTTCTTTCATCTGAAGAAAAGTAATTTTCTCTGCAAAATATTATAAAATTATGTTTATTGAATCATCTGGGACCTTTTCCAAGTATCTGGACAGTTATCATAACACACCTTCCAAAAGGAGAACAAAAGGGTACACGTCCTCTGACAATAAACACAGACGCATTTACAGTAAATACAAACCAAAGTTAAACTTTGAAAACAACTCATTTTCCATCACATCATACTCTCCATTATAATTCGTGAATTCCTAATTTGGCCATTTCACAGTTTTGCTCTAAAGAACATACACTTGTATCCAGCTTAATTCCATCTCTGAGATAAACCAGAGGTGAAAAATAGGGTTTCTGCCAAGCTGGAAGTAAGGCAACCCTGCTTGTCTTTGGGAGGGACGGCTGAGCAGGGGTCTCAGGACTATTCAGTGCAGCCACTTTCCCGCCCAGAGTCTGGTGTGTCGGGTTACAAAGGGGCTCTAGAGATGCTGAGACCCGGTTAACGTCCGCCGTCTCTTCTTCTACCAAAGGGGAAAGTCCTCACCTGCCGCTGGGTTTAGTCTCTGGGTCTGCTTATCAGCTGCAGGTGTATTTTCCCCACTTTTCCCTTCTGGTCATAGTGTTGCTAACCTTTGTAAACATTTAAAGGTACAATAAAGTGCTCAGTTGTGCCCCATCTGAGCCACATCCTGCTCTAGTTTTGAAAGCGTAGCTCTCAGGAACCTCAATAAGATCTTACTGTCTCCACGAGGAGCAGAATGTGTCTGTCAGCAAGTAGAGTCCAGGTCGTTGCCACTACTCTCACCTGAGGCTGCCGAGTCCTGGGTGGGCTTTCCACTGTGCCAAATGCCCCGCTACTTCACATAAACGTACAAACTCGGCTCTCTGGTAAGTCAGACATCACTGATTTTCAAAGAAGCATAAATCCCTCCCCAAAGAATCCATCAATACAATGAACCTATAAAATGGAGGTTCCGAAATCTGAAACAGCATTTGTAACCCACTCCCAAATTCTGATTTCGACTGACATCTCTGCCTCCATACACACAGTCCCATCTGGCCTTTGCCCGCCACACGGGCAGTGAGCACCCCCCAGAGGAAGTCTCTCCAAATGCCCCACCTGGTTATATTCCCCCCTCACTTCTCTGAGGAGCATCTATAATTCAGGCTATACTTGGATCAGTTGGCAAAGAAAATAACTAAACAGGGACGACTATGATATGAAATAAACAAATCAGGTTTCACTAGAAATGAATACGGTAAGAAATTTTAAGAACACTCATCACATAATTGTGAACAATGGTGTTTCCACTGGATTTGTATAAAGACCCAGAGGCCTCAAGACCCTTCTAAAAAATTAGGGACATCAAATACAAAGTTGGAACAATTAGTATCGTGGCTTTAAGACTTTTAACAGTGTTTACAATATGTGCAATTGTAGTTGCTGTTAATAACTCAAAACGAAAAAATCCACTGAACTGGATCATGAATATAGAGTGACAACACGCTGTTACAGCAAACACTTTTGAAAACACTGCTTAGATGTTTTGTTACGGGAAATAACTTTTAAGGATTTAAATTGTAAGTTTTTTTTATCATGGCTTTTTGACAGGAAATGTGATATATTCCTCAGCTTACCAAAGAGTATAAGACACTGTCACAGGCTGGATTCCGTGTTAGTTTGGCAGGAATTGCTGTGCCAGTTTCTATACATAAGAGGCCTTATGAAAATCTTGTGAAAAAACATCCGAAATACTGCTGTTCTGAAAATGATGAAAATCCAAGGGTCCACGATTGAAATCACAGACAGAAAGCGCAGGGCTCGCAGGTCCTCGGTCTCTTCCGTCGTTCCATTCTTCTCATCGACAGCTTTAAATGCTCCATGGTAAGCACGATACTGTTTGAAAGGAAAATATTCCATTATGATATTGAAAGGTTGATGGCAACAATAAATTCACTTATCTCACTTAGGAAACATTACTTTTCTGCAAGAATATGGCAGCTTGGCTTGAAATAATCATTTTTTGTAAATTTATAAGCAGCTAAAGCCATTGCAGCTGATGGGCGTGAGTGAGGAGCCTGGATGGTGCAGGGCCCTCTTGGGGGCCCCATCTAAGTTCCTGGGGGCTATTCTACCGGCAGTGAGGTTTCCAGGTCCCTGCCAGGTCACGCAGAGGAAGAGCTGAAGGGGGACAAATCCAGTCCACCAAGTGTTTACAAACAGGGTCACACACTTCCCTAAATGCACACATTGTCTTTCCATGTCGTCTTCAGTGCTCTTTTCTTTCTGCTTCCTCTCCTGTCTTCCGCGTCAGCCCAGAAATCAGTCACACCTGTGGAATGTCACATGTATGCAGGCACCAACGACACAGAAGCTTTTAATCCATCTGAAGAGACAGGACATACTCCAAAGAAAAGACGGGAGGAGACTTGCAAAGGGACCTGTTCGACTCCCATAAACACTCTACTTACTCTCAGGACAGATGGCTGCCTTTCCATGGAGATATCCTCTTTTCAGACCAGGAAAAAACCAAGCCCAGAAATAGAGGCCTGATCACCACTATCCAACTGCTCCGACCATCTTTATCTTCTTTGAGTCTCTGCGGCCTCCTTGGTGCCTGCAAACTGCCTCGTCCCACAGCCCTGCCTGCCATTCAGCCAACGCTGCTGTCTACACCTGCACTACGCTGCCTTCAACACCGCTGGGGACCAGCCACCCTCTTGCTGCCTAGTGAGATTCTAAATCTCTACTGGGACAAAAGGGACTCTAAGGGGACAGAAAATGTGCAAACTCAGCGTTAGTGGAAGCGGGCATGAGTAAGTGCACAGACCAGACCCATTTGGGGCATCAAGGGATATGGGAAGATGCGTCTGCCCACAACTGCCTGCTCACCTTTTTAGTCTCTCCTCCAACAGAGCATTTCAGCGGAATCAGATGCTCCCACCTGCAACACTTAGGAGGATGCCTATGCCTGGAAGTCCCTCCCATCATCATGGCTCAATAACACGAATAGTAACGGCCGATGCCACAGAGAGCTGACCACTGCCAGGCTAGTGCCCACAGAGAGCGGACCACTGCCAGGCTAGTGCCCAGAGAGAGCTGACCACTGCCAGGCTAGTGCCCACAGAGAGCTGACCACTGCCAGGCTAATTCTCAGAGAGAGCTGACCACTGCCAGGCTAGTGCCCCCAGAGAGCTAGCCAGTGCCAGACTAAAAACCTCATTTCATCCTCACAAAACCTATGAAGTAAGGACGATCCTTATCTCCATTTTACAGATGTGGAAACCAATTACACGCTTGAATCCCACCTCCTTCCGAGGTCCACCTCAAATATGACCCCTTCCAGGAAGCCTCTTGGAGGTGATGGCTAAGCACATCGGCTCTGGAGTCCGACCATCTGGATTCAAGTCCCCTCATTGGCTGTGTGACTTCAGGCAGGTTGTTCTGCTCCCTCATCTAGATCATGGGGATAATTAGACCCAGCTTCCAGGATTGTTATGCAATTTGAATGAGATGGTAGGAGTAAAACCCGGACAACAGGTCCTAGTGTATAATAATAACTCAATAAATAGCTAGTATTATTTTTTCAATTAGGAGCGACTCCTCTCCTCCTGTAATCTCCCCTGTGGCCCTAATCACCCCCTCCCACTGCTGGTGTGAGAGCTCATGTGGGCAGCAATGATGTTTTCCTCATTTTATATCCCCTCAGCAAGTTACAGAGTCTTGAATGCTGGAGGCACCAGACGTGGTGAAGTGATAAACGGATGCCCATGGGCTCTGCGCTTAAGTTGATTTAAAAAGCAAACACCTCATATGAGTTTGTCTTTACATTTGCTCCTTTATTCTCAAAGTGGAAAGCAGCAAAATATAATTCCAACTATTTGAAAATGCTTGACTAGTTGGGATCTGGGTAACTGAATGACACTTACATAATTAAAACAAACCATTTTATTTCCATGCAGTATTTATCTATGTCAATTCTATTGCATATTATTAGGTTATTTGTATTTTCAAGTCAATTTATTTGTATTAGAAGTGTATTGGTCTACACTCAGCCTTTTAATTTATTTTAATTTAATTATGTTTACTTTTTGAGTTTTCTGAAAATATGACAAATTCATTAATTCATGATAGTGATCCATGAATGTATTCTATTAATTTTCAAAAGATATCAATTTGAACCCAATTTAGACTTTGGGAAAATCTCTGTCGATCAGTAGTATTCTCTAGAACATACTTTATAAACTGTCCTGGACAAGCGGCGGGAATAACCAATAACCTGAAAACGCACGTGTGGCGTGTTTGAAGCAGTCCAACCGCGCAAGGAGAATCGGTGTGAGAAGCGCGCCCTCTGCTGGACATAGGAGTCCATGAAAAAACGTTGCTGTTGCCCACTGACCGGGACTTCTCTTGGCCGGACACCCTGCGGAGGAGCGCTCTAGACTCTAACGCCCTCCTCCGGCCAGTTCGTCCGCTGGGAGGCCCTAGACCTCGCCCTCTGCTCTGGCCCTTTAAATCCATTCCCACCCTTTTCCCTGGGCCCATCTCTTGCCCACCATCCCTTACATGCCTCTAACCGCCTCCTTTGGAGGGAGCATCCCCCATTCTTTCTGCCCACCAGAATGAAACACACACTGGAGTTACCTCAATCCTGCAGTGCGTCCTCTGCCTCTTCTGCTCCCGGAACTCATACATGGAGTTACGCACGCTCGCACTCATCTCTGCCTGGCTTGTCACCTCTCAACAATCACTCCAATCAATACATGAACATTCTCTCTCCGCCATCCCCGATCCCCTGCCAACTCCAATATATCGTGATTTTCTAAGGTAAAAATAATTTTGATGAAAATATGTTATACGCATTAGAGAATGTACTGCAAACTGCCTCTAAAGCTCACCCCAGATTCTCCATACTTTCTTCCTACTGTATCAAATTGGAAATTTGAAAATTCAATCTAGTTAAGTATCTTGCTCTAATCCAGTTTATAGCAGTTACTGTTAAAAATCAAGTTACTGTTAAAAATCATAAAAATCCAACAGACTTTCACCAGCTAAATGAAATACAATATTTGTGCTATGAGTAAGGTTTGTGTTGTTGTTTTCCACCTTCACATACAGCCTTATTTTTTCCCAGAAGTGATTAGGAGACTGATTTTAAAAGAGTGGGGGTCTCCAACACCCCTTCAGTGTGTCTGCAGGTCAAAGCCATTTTCATAAAAAAGACATTATTTGCCCTTTTCCCTTTCCTCCTCTCACAAGGGTACCGGAGTTTTACGGAGGCTCCCTGACCTGTAATGAATGACATCCTGGCTCCCATGGCTAATGGGATATGTGCTGTGTATTCTTGGGCTTTCCAGACCTTTCTAGGGTAACAGGGTTTACATACGCACATTTTCAGAGACCATTCTCAGTACTCTGTGCTCTTAACATGCTTTTTCTTCCCATTTTTTTGCTATAATCTCTGTAACTTTATTATCATTCATTAAACCTTTTTGAAATCTCAAAGTTTTCCTTCACCTATGCAAAACCACAAGAAACAGATTTTAACTTGTTTTGCAATAATATTTTAAATTTTTTATTATTTTTATTTTCTAATATGATAAACACTGATAAATATAATCCATATAAATAAAAGCTCTCTGGGTCCTTAATAATTTTTAAGAGTAAAAAGGCGTCCTAAGACTAACACAAGTTTCAGAACCACTGCCTTAAAACAATGCTATCTCCTGAGATCCTATTTCATAGTTAATTGTCATGTTCAGAGGGCAAAAACAACAAATGGAAGTTATAATTAGTAACAATAGTGATACGGACTTTTGAGGCCAGGCACTTGGTTAGGTGGTTTATATGTTACTTCAAATCTTCATCATCATCTCACAGAGCACGTGTGGTTACTCTCCCTTTACAGATGAGGAAACCGAGGTAAGAAAGGTGAATAGGCCACTGTCGAAGTCACTCAGTGATGGAGCCTGATTGAACCCACGTCTGATGCTAAAGCCCTTATCCTTTCCAGAAAACAACAGTTAAGGTGAAGAATGCTGTCTGCTTTGCACATCTTTGGAACTTTACAAGTTTTGTAGAAAATCATTTTCAAATCCATTCCTTCCTTCAATCCTTACAATCCCCAGCGAGTTATTCAACCCCCCTAAGAGACGAGTCCAAATGCAATATTCTTCCCGCTGTATTATGCTGCTTTCTGCATTATTCTTAACAGTCAAACTCAGACACATGATCCATGCACTCGGCTCTCGTCTGCTTTCATAATAGCACAGGTAATGAGGCTGTGACCTCAGAGCAGGGGTCTGCAAACATTTTCTGTGAAGAGCTGGACAGTAAATATTTTAGGTTTTATGGGCCAAGGGGCAAACAGTGAATAGCTGGTAGGTATTTATATAACAAGAGAGAAAACAGATTTCCACACTTTTTATTGATGAAATTCAAAATGTAATAATAATTAAGTAAATTTTTGTGATACATGTCTACTAAGGAGAATAACGAATGTCTTTGTTTTTTCTTGGAATAGTATTTGACTTAATTGGGGTTCAGAGTTCGTGTGCCCTATCATCAAATTGATTGCAAATGTTCATTCTTAAAAGCTATTCTTAACTCCAGGGCTGTAGGAAAACAGTGGGCGGGCAGGGTCTGGCCTGCCAGCCGTGATTTGCCAGCTCCTGCTCTGCGGTGCGGTTCTCCAGATGTGATCCCAGATCAACAGCTTCCACCTCACCCGGGAACTTGTTAAGAAAGAGAATTCTTCAAAAACATCTGAATCAGAAACTCTGGGGGATGGGGCCCAGCCATCTATGTGTTTGGAAGCCCTGCTGATGATTCTGAGCCTGCTCAAGTTTGAGAACCACTCCTAAATATCTATGCCTGTTTCTATATGTATTTATGTAGATACAGATTTATTTGGGGGAGTTTTGATCCTAGCCCCGCATGATGATGCTGCAGACCACGCTTCCCCCACACATTAACAGCTTCACTTAAGGGGGAAATCACATTACATTTCACCTTCACCCTTGAAAAGCAACATCCAGAATTGCTACACTGCCAACAAGAGACGCAACAGCGTTCCTCTTCACAGGCTCCGAAGACACTGCCTTGGCAATAAATGCTCTTATTGAACAAGCACAGAGCGGGTGGGGGAGAGGGGAGAGCAGTACTGAGGAGGTTTACTCAAGCCTGGGCTGTTCCTGGGTGTCTTGGCAGGTGTCTTACCTTCAAACCACGAGGTAATTCAGTCCCCACCACCACCCTCATTAGGAAATTGAAACCAAAGACAATGGCTTTCAGGTTGCCTCGCTTGCCAAGATAGAAACAAGACTTGTCAAGACGAGTTACCAAAACGACACCAGGGCTGAAACGTCCTTACCCATTTGCCTGTCCAAACAGCCTCTCCGTCACCACGCCCGCGGCTGCGACCCAGAAACAGCATCCGCCGCTCATCCAGGTCTACCCAAGAGCTTTTAAAAACTAAACCTCTGCTTTTAGTCACTCACTTCTGCAAATCTCTCTGGCATGGTGACATCTTCCCTTATTCCCTTCCCACGCCAACATCCCGGAGAAGACCTCTCAGTGCCATTCACCCATTTTTGACGCCTCTAAAATCAAGCGAAGCTCTAACGAATTAAAACATTACCTAGCCATCTGAAGGAGGAGAGGACTGTATTGCCAAGGAGAAACAAAGGTCTGCTCCTCAAAGTTCCGAGGCGCAAAAATAACCCTGAGATCTTCCCAGAGGGAAGCAGAGAGGGGGGTTCTGCCAACTGGAGAGGTTTTGCGGGGTTAAGGGGACACTGTCGGGCTGGTCTTTCCCTTCCTTTTTCTGACTTTCCCTCCTCTCGCTCAACAAATTGGGGGTGTGGAGGGAACCCGATCTGTGGAGGGCTGAAAAGAACCCTCCCGGCCCGGGGCGCCGCTCCTCTCGCGGCGTCCTACACGCTCCCCCGTTCCCTCCCGGCCCCGCGGCCTTGGAGCGGCGCGACTCACGATTAGAGGCAGGGAGCACATGGTGAAGAGCACGGTCATGAGCGCCAGCAGCAGGAGGTGATCCAGCTCCTCCAGGGTCTGCGGGGACGCCTCTCTGGTGCTGGCGCCCGGCTCCACGTCGTCCTTGGTGCTGGAGCGCGGGCGCCGCCGCAGCCGCCGGTGCATCGCGTAGAGGTTGCGCATGGCGCTTAGGTTGCACAGCACGATGGCGAGGACCAGCAGGGCCATGAGGCCGGCGTAGAGCACCGAGTAGCCCAGCACTGACAGCGACTGCTCCTCGTGGACCATCTGGATGAAGCACCAGGTGCCCGGACAGTACTGCACGAACCTCCCGAAGCCCGCGAAGGGCAGCGCGCAGAAAGCCAGGCAGAAAGCGCCCACCACCGGCGCCACCAGCGCGCCCCGGCGCGGGGTGATGTGCCGTCGGTAGAAGAAGGGGTGCCCCAGGGAGAGCCAGCACTCCAGGGCCATGGCCAAGAGCTGCAGCGTCGAGGCGAGCCCGAAGAAGGACATGAAGAAGGCGAAGGCTTGGCACAGCGAGCTGCCCGACGCGGGCGCCAGCCCCCGCAGGCTCCGGTTCTGCGCGTAGGCGGCCAGCACGAAGGGGCTCACTAGGGACTTGCCCAGCAGGTCGGTGACCGTCAGGCCGCTCACCAGCACGTAGAAGACGGAGGGCGGCGGGCGCGGCGGGCACGACCCCAGCCCTGAGCGCGCCAGCAGCCCCAGGGCCAGCAGGTTGCCCAGGAGGCCTGTGCTGAAGAGCAGCCCGCCCATCGTGGCCGAGTTGCCCTTCTCCACCGAGGTGGAGTTGTGGCAGCGGTAGAACGCCGGCCGCATGGCGGGCCGAGCGGAGGCTGCGGGAGGGCCTGGCCCGGGCGTCGGGTGCGCAGGAGCCGTGGCCGCTGCGCTGGCGGCTCGGCGGACAGGGTGCGCCGAGGGGGAAGCAGCGCCTCCTTCTTATATTCTCGGTCACACCCCGCCCCGAGGGCGGGACGCACGGCCCGGCGCTCAAGGCGCTGGCGGTGCAGAGCGCGGAGCGAAGCGCGAGACGGAGCCTGGTACCAGAGTGGGCAAGGAGAAGGGAAGTAGCCAGAGTCCGAGCACCCTGGGCCCGTGCTTCTTGCGAGGCAAGAGAACTACGGAAAAGGAGCGGAAATTAAGGCGCAGCCACTAGGCAGGAGGTGGGGGACTCTGGTGGCCGAGAAGGACTCTGAAGATGGGCAGAGCGCAGCGCGGAGGGCAGGATGAGACAGGGCTGCTACTCGTGTTTAAATTCGTGGGTTAAGGAGGGTAAAGGTAACCAACATTTGCATAACACTTAAGCCTTAGCTCCAGTTCTCTGAGATCTACCCCAGGCGGCGGAGCTGGACCTGGAACCCAGATCTTCTGTCTGTAGAGTCCATCTGTCTTGCTTCCCCTCCCAAGAGGTTGGCCAGATTTTGGGGAAGTGGCTCCAGGAAAACCGAGAGGAGATGTTGCCCTGGGTCCCTGAATCGCAGTGGTTGTGTAGATGCTCTGGGGGGGTCATAGAGCACTGACGCTCTCGGACAGAGCTGGGTTCAAGTCCTGGTTCTGCTCCTGGCTGTGACCCTCAGGGACTTGCTTCACCCCTCAAGAAGTAGCATCCAGCCAGCCTGCTTGGCTTTTTTTTTTTTCCTGCTGAGGAAGATTTGCCAATCTTCCTCTTTTTTTTTCTTTGCATGTAAGCCCCGGCCACAGCATGCCCACTGACAGACGAGTGGTGTAGGTCTGCGCTCGTGAACCGAACCCGGCCGGCACAGCAGAGCGCCGAACTTAACCACTAGGCCTCCGGGACTGGCCCCTGCTCGGCTCTTTTGAGTGCAGGGATAACGTGTGCAAAGGGCAACTTTCCAGCTTCCCGCCTGTTAGGGGAAGGCTGTTTCAGTAGCTGATGTTTAACTGCAGTTTTTAGCATGGATTTTGAAACCAGAAAATAGTAGATTTGGTTTAGAGCTTTCTCAATCTGGTTTGTGACTACTGGGAAACTTTTCTTCCGTTCTTGCCTTTGACTTGGCTGCATCACAGAGCACAGGTGTTAATTTCAGTAAGCGCGATTTATTTCTTTAATTCACGCTGATACCCTGGGAGAGAAACTGGCTTGAGTGTGGAATTGAGCGGGATGACCAGGAGCCAGTGTGAGCACGTGGACTGTGCCTGGGCTTGAAGAAGCACCTGTTTAGGGTCAGCGCCTGTTCTGATGGACAGACTGGGAGACAGCAAGACCCTTGAGCTTCAGATGTGAAAGCCTTACCCGTGGCCAGAGAGGCTACCTCTAGACTGAAAGCCGGGCCAGTAACTCAGGCCGTGGGGTGTAGACAGAGTCAAGCTTTAGAATTAACAGTTCTGAACTCTACCACTAGCTGTGTGACTCAATCTCTCTGAGTTTATTTCCTCGTAAACAGGATACAGGGCTTGTGCTGACCTCGTGGGGTTGCTGTGAAGTTGAGAAAGCATAAAGTGTTCAACATAGAGTAATAATAATAATAATGAGAGCTGACATTTACAGGCCCTTGTATATGCTAGGCACTTTCCAACCCTTTCACGTCTACTGACTCGATTACTAGAAGTCCTTCCACAGAGTTAGTTCCCTTGTCGTCCACCTTCCCCCACCTCTCATCCCCACCTCCAGCCCCTAACCAATAATGATGTAGAAGAGCTCCACTTGAGCTGATGAAGTGGAAGAAGGAGCAGGCCTTATAGCCCAAAGACACAAGAATCTGATGAAATCCGAGGTCTCCTCTCCAGACAGACAGACAGACAGACACAAACACACACTCACAATTTACACCAATCACAGGGTATTCACGGTTTCCTGAAGTCCCGCTGTGGTGCCCGGTGGACTCTAGCTTAAGAACCCTCCTCTAGGGACAAGGGCAGGGGTGCTCTCTGAAGTGTCCCTACCCCAGTCTTCGCAGCCTCACCTGTCTGTTACAGCCACCTCAACCCCATACCCCTTCCAAGAGCAGTGCACGGGGAGACAGGAGCCCAGGAATGGAAATGACTTTTTAAGAGCAGCTCCGAAGGGTGGCTGAAGGACGGCCGTGGGTCCCTGACTTGGTTTGTGTATGTCACGTGTCCAAGGTTGACAGCCTTGAGCGGGTGCGACTCAGGAAGCCACGTGTTTCCTCGTGGCCACCGTGGCTGCCCTTTACTATGGGGTTTCCGCTGCTTTCCTGCCTGCTTTGCTCTTGTTCACTCTGCCCTGTTCTCAGACTTAACTTTGGAGCCTCCTGTCGCTCCTCCTAAGAAATCTCACTTTGCAGCCTCACTGTTCAGCCAAGAAAACTATCGTTTGTTCATGCAACGAGTATTTTTTGAGCTCTTGCTTTGTGCCCGGCGTGGGGTGAGGCGTGCAGTCGCCGAGCAGTACCCAGCAGGTAAGGGAAGGCAGTGGTCACGTCCTGTGACTTTTACGGGGTATACAGTTTTACATCAGCTTTCAGAGTAACGAAGCTGAGGGTTTTTTTTTTTTCCTAAGAGGGAAACTTTTGATGAAAATATCTTGGGCCCAGTTACATGGTAAAATTATCTTCATTATCTGCAGAGCTGTACTAGGCTGCTAACTTGGGTTATAAGACAAATCATCTGGAAAAATACATGTGGCATAATGTCAACAGACAAATTTGAATATACAATTATTTTATGATTTTTTAAATGTAAAAACCATATATGCTCGTGAACAAGACATAGAAGTTGACATAAGCGGATGTAACATTGACTTAAACTTGAGAAGGGTGGTAGAAAAATTCCTCTTTGGAATTCTGATATTTTCAGTATGGTATCTGTAATAACCATCTAAAAGATTTTAAACAGAAAGCGTGAGTATGCTGATGGTCAGATTTTAGGAAGGGGGAGTGTAGGAAAAGGAATAGTTTTTCCTGGACCCATCCTGACTGTGCTTCTAAATCTTATCCATCCCTCACTCCTACTGAACTCCAAGCGATATTTTGGGCTGGGGATCGTGAAGAGCAGAGAATGGAGAGGAGGAAAGCCACAAAGTGAAGAACAAAATCAGCTACGTTTGGGAGCGTCTTCTGCGTGCTAAAGGCCATGCTAGGTGCCTCTTCACATCCAGTAGGTGGGTGGGCACAGCAGTGTGGCAGTGACAGGTGAGATCTTGGAGTCCTACTGTGTGAGTTCACATCTCAGCTTTGCCCCTTGCTAGCTCTACACCCTTGAGCCATCTTCTAACCTTTCTAAACCTCGGTTTCCTTGTCTATAAAAACGAGGGGAGGAAGGATTATTGTACTGAACTCAGAGGGTCGTTATGTGGCTTAAATAAAATTATCTGCATGGAGCAATGATTCTCAACCTTGGGTGCACTGTAGAATCACTTGGACAGCCGTAAACATTTCTGATGCTTCAGCACCTCAAACCAATTATATCAGACTCTCTGGGGTGCCCTCCAGGCTTTGATATTTTTAAAGCCCCCCAGTTAATTCCACTGTGCTGCTAAGGTGAGCACCACTGGACTAGAATGTTAAGCATAGTGCTGTGACATGCTCTGTATGGTTCTGTTGATGGTGTTAATTAAAGTCTCTATTCCTGACGACTGCAACAGAGAAGTGTTCTTTCTTTATGTCCCATTTTTCGGATAAAGAAAATGAAGCTAAGGTTAATAACTTCTCCAGGTTCACCTAACTAGCAAGTGATGAGGCTAGAATGGCATCAGGTCTTTTGGATTCCCCCAGTCTCTGCTTTGGAGAAAAAGAACAAAGGCAGGAGGGAGAGAGAGAAAGGAGGGACCCTGCGAATTCCTACATTTGCTCAGAAGTCAGGAGGCAGAACTCCCACCAGGCTCAGGGAGCATGCCAGTTCCCTTCACTTCTGCTGGTTGCATATTGTCCTGTGGCCAAGTCCACACAAATGTCATCTCAGCATCTGTTTGCTAAAATTTGCAAGTGGTTTAGTAAAGTCTTCATTTTGTCTGATCCTGATTCCTGCATACTAGGGTCTCCCAGACTTTTGTCCAGCAAGAAATTCCGTTATGACATCTTTTGCTGTCAAAGTGAGAGATTAAATCCTCCAGAGATTCGGGGGAGTGGGCGGGTCTCGGCCAAGCTCAGTTGACCTGTGACCACGTGTAGATCAGGATCAGGATCTCTGTGTATTCAGGACGTGGAGAAAACATGCTCTCAGTTTTCTCTTGGCTGTAGTTTCAACCCTAAAGATAGGCATAACTTTTTGAAAATGTTTTTGGGTGATGACTGGGAGTAAATAGATGGTGTAAATAGTTGGTTCCAGGACCCTCACAGGTACCAAAATCCTGAAATGCTCAAGTCCTTTATATAAAATGGGGTAACGTTTGGATCTAACCTATGCACATCCTCCCGTATACTTGAAATCATCTCTAGATTACTTAATATACCAAATACAATGTAAATGCTATATAAATAGTTGTTACACTATATTGTTTAGGGAATAATGGCAAGAAAAAAAGTCTATACATGTTCAGTACAGACACAACCATAGTAGGTCTTTCAATCCGGGACTGGTTGAATCCCCAAATGTGGAGGACTGACTGGAATACATTTCTTACATTGTTACAATACATTGTTAACCCAATTATGGGTGGTGACGGCTCCTTGATTACTGAGATTTTCTAGCAGTTTGCTTGTGGTTCTAAGGGAAGTTGTTGGCAAATGTGGCTGGTTTGTTCCCTGTGAAGCAGACTCTGAGATGGAAATTAGCAGGGAGGATATTTGTTAGGGAGTGCTTTGGGGATTAGCACCTGTGAAGGGGAAGAAACAGAAGCAGGACTGGGCAGAGGGAGATGTCAGGCTGTGATACAGTTTCAATCACAGACCTTAACCAACCCGACTGGAAGCTCAGAAGCTGAAAGGGGCCCTCAGAGTTG